GGAGCCACAACAAATACGCAAACAGATGTCTTTTTCTCGTCTCCTCATTGGCGAAGCTAGATAAAATACGAAAGTTATCATGAATTCAAACGAGTGGGATGCCCCGAGGGCCACCAGAACGTTGTGATTCTGGTATTTCCATCCCAAGACGGGCTTCTATATCTAGTGCCCAAGATGGATACACTCGTGGAGAGACTAACGGCTCGCCTCTAATTGGTAGAGCAGTGATCATAGAAACATCTTTCAGTGTAGGTGCAAGCTCCCCAAAACAAAAGTGAAAGGTGTGGGTTTCAGGTCTCCACCGGTCAACGAGGGATGTCAAAAGGGATGGGTCTGAACGTACTTGGTCGTCGCATGATGTGAGCCTAGCAAAATCTTGTACTCCATAAGCGTCAAGGTGAGCAAGGAAAGCATTGTGTATTGGCCATGTTTTCTTTATGGTTCGAAGTCCGAAAGGCCGATAATTATGCTTAGCATTTGGGTTCAAAAATAGGTGGCAACGGTGGCCAGCGTCATTGGGCCCCTGCAAAAGCACCGGCACTTCACCCATAATCTCCACACAAACATACAAATATAAATCACGAGGAAGACGCAAATACAAATGCAAATCAAAATTAACTTAAAAAATACAAAGAGATACGATTTACATTAATTATCTAAAGTTAACATCACGAGTACAATAATACAAAGAGATTCAATTTAAATTTAATATAAGTACACATAACAAGTAGAAATATAAATAGACATAGCGAGTACATATATATCAACATCATGCGTTGTTGGTGGCTCGATACGGGCATTCTCTGTGTGAATGTCCAGGACACCTGCAAACGCGGCATCGCCTTGGTTCTCCCATCTGGCTATCGTCCATGTCATTGCGATGACGCCTAGACTGACGTCGTCCCTTTGCGGTTCTCATCAAGTCGGCGTTCAGAACCCATTTCGGCCCATCTGGCCACAACATTTTGTAATTCATATCAATGCCCCAAGCCCAGAACTCACCGTTCCAAGTGTTGTACAGATTGTACATGTTGAAGTATGGCGATATGTATGGCTCAACGCTGATTTTTTGATTAGCAGCCGCCCGGAGCACCTGACTGCAAGGGTAGCCCTCAAGCTTGGGCTTGTTACAAGTGCACTCACAGGAGGTTGAGCCAAGGGTGACAGCTTGCTTTTTTGATCCTCTGTGGTGACCCTTAACGTACTTAGCTCGCACATTGACCTCTCACTTATTCCTAAGTGCGTCCACTTTCCTGCAGCCATGACTTTGGGACTTCTTTGCCTTCTCGTCCAGATGTCTTTGCATCTTCTTGGACCATGGCTTGTTCAATTCAACTTGTGCTTTGGCGACGGTGACCCTGTCTGCAAAGTATGACAGGGTCCGATTCCAAGTTTCTTCAATTAGGGCTGTGATAGGGATTGCTTGCAAACCTCATGTACGACCCCTATGACCAATCACCTGTGGCAGGCCGCAAACCCCAACGGGCAACCGTCCCATCATTTCCTCTGTCAACGATGAAGGCCTCCATTGTCATTTTTTTCCTGCATCCCTGGGCCAAACACCGCTCGGATGCACCTTCCAACTGTTGTGTAACCCATGTTGACCATGTCTCTCACTACAACTGTAGTCGACTCGCACAAGGACACATCCACCCCGAAAGGACCGTCGCGTAAGACGTTCCCATAGTACACTACTAAATTTTCCATAGTACCTAACCACCATACATGTTTACATTTCAAATAATTAGCAACTGAATATTTAGTAAAGATGACAACATTTACATATCATACGACTAAAATAATAACCGTATTTTTGTTACAAATATTCTGTTTGTTTCTAGAATCATTTGCTTAGACTTTAAGGGGTTGTTTGGTTAGTGGGTATTTAAAGATCTATTTTTTCTCAAACTCGTCTACAAGAGTAAAAACGACTATTAGTAAAAACTAATTTTCTTACAATAGGTTATGACAAACAACCACTAAACATAATAGTATGATAATAACATTTTAATATCATATGAGTAAAACATTTAATTTCTTCCGGCTTTATATAAATTTTGCATATCATACGATAGCAATCATTTATTTACAAATAATAATATTTGCAGCGGCATGCACATTATTCACAACAGTACATTAATATAAAAAATATTAACAAAGTTACGGTGTCATTTTATACCTTAGTTCCAATATGGATGTGCTTGCGAATGCAATTAAGAGTCCAAATAATTCGAATAAATTTCCGTCACCAGTACTATATGAACGAAGTCAACCTATTATCACATGAACATCAATATTACACACGGATTTTTCTTTCTGCTATCAAAAGTATGATAATAGCACTTGCATGTATGTGGTCATCACCTCAAAAGGGACGGCGAAGATGGAAACACAATTTCTTCAATCACGCCATCTCCTCCTTGTTTGCTACTAAGATGAATTATTTTACCTAATTACATACATCATCAAGTACATTAGCACATAATCTTAACATATAAAAAAAATAGATTATTGCGACATAACAAAGTAGACCTACGGCTTTCTAACTATAGACTTATTAATAAACATACCACATGAAATAACATACCACATGCAATGAACAATTACAGCACAAGTTTTTTTCCTAATTACCGTATTAAGATTTCTCGCATGTCAATAATAATGGACGCACCTAACATAGATACAACATCTTCAACCTACTCTTCTAAAAAAATATTATAAATGTTGTATTTGTCGTCTGAAATTATTTCTAACCTCTAAGCACTAATATCGCATAGCTAATGACGAGCTAAAAGACTAACTAATTACCATCATGCATGCAGAAAAAATTCCATGCATTGCAAAGCTCATACCTTGATCTTCAACTTCGTAGTTCACTTCGCTACGCAAATCCTACTCCTCAAGCTCTAAATGACTCCAGATGACTCCTCGAAGTGCTAAAATTATGCCTAAAACAACAGAGAATACACACTTAGGAACTAATCAAACAGAACGAAAACATCATGCATGCGAACGAAACCAAGAAAAATGGATAGATCTTACCATAATCTATCTTTTCTTCAACTTCATCATCTTCGATATCCAATTCTAAATCGGCCGAAATCACGAGTGAAAGTGGCTACCAAGTTTTTCTTTGGCTTGTGTATTCTTCTACACTTAGAGAGAGCAGAGAGGCAGAGAAGGCAACCAGAGATATGCGAGAGAGAGTGTATGCGCACGGAGCCGCGGATGTACGTTTAAAAAGAAGAGGACCACTGTATTGTCGGCAGAACGAGCCAGAACTCACCTACCGCGGCATCGGATTCCAGCATTGCGGTGTCTCATCACACACAGCAACAACAACGCTCTCGAGTGTGTGGCAGGAAAACACGCGTTGAAATCAGCACGCCTGAGTGCTGTCGCTTTGGCTGGAGCAATAGACGAAAGCGAGAATCACGCACCGCTTTAATCAGTGTCGTCTACGTAGCAATCAGTACTACAAAGTTTACGCGGGAATCTGATTCCAGATCATCGAAACTTGTGGCACAAAGCAAAACAAGGAACCGTGGAATCAGCGCCCGTGAAAATCTGCGTCGTCAGCACGGGAATCAGCGCTGTCACGCGTGCAGCAACAGGGATGCCGCCTGCTGCAGCGGCGGCGTGTCCCACACGTTGGGCCCGCGAGCAGCACGGCCTGTCGGCCCGAGAGCGACAGCGGCGACAGTGGCCGCCTCACCTAGTGGCGACCGGGCCCACCACTCCTGGCCCGTTCCGTCCCAGCTGCTCCACTGTGCGAGAACCGTTGTGCCTCGCGCGGCCGCCTCCTGCGGTGGCGGCAGGGCCCGCCGCCTCCTGGCGTGGCGGCAGGTGCCACGTGTCGCCTGCCACGCCTGCCGCCACTAGTGAGGGGGTCCTTTTTGATATTTTTATCTGCATATAGTCCTTTTTAGCAATAGCCTTCGGCAAGGGGTCCTTTTGAAAAAAAAAATCATTTCCTTGATCCACACAACGCAACGGATTCCTCGCCTTGGTCCAAAGGATAGAACTGGCGATCTCCAAGGAGTCCTCGCCTTCGTCGTCAAAATCGGCAGCTGGGCCGCCGTGGCCATGGACGGGCACGATGGCAGTCTCCTTGCCTGCCACGAAACCTCACACCATATATTTCCGAGCCTGCACCCTTTCCGGTTCAAACTGTCCTGGCCTTGATGGTGGACTACAGACTACTCGGCCCGCCGGAGGCTCGCCATGCCGCGATGATCACGGTGGCGGCGCCGACCGACGAGGCGTTCTCATACCCGAAACATTGCAACGTGAAGAAGGAGAGTGGCGCGCTGGGGCCAGCGGGGAAGACGCGCACGAAGAAACGGTCGCCGACGTTCCCGTCCTCGGGGGACCCCTGCCTCGACTTCTTCCGCGTGTTGCCCGCCACGCCGGCCGCCACCGTGGCCAGGCTCCTCGCCGCCGCGTGGGCCGCCGACCCGTCCACCGCGCTCCGCCTGGTCGCCAACCTCCGCGGCGTGCGGGGCTCCGGCAAGTCCGACCGCGAAAGTTTCTACGCCGCCGCGCTCTGGCTCCACGCCCGCCACCCCGCCACGCTCGCGCGCAACGCCGCCTCCGTCGCCACCTTCGGCTACCTCAAGGATCTCCCCGAGCTGCTCCACCGGATCGTGCGCGGCGGCGTCTCCAACAAAGCAGAAAGGAGGACGGCCCTCCTTGCCACCGGCCGCCGCGGCCCCTTTGGCCTCGGGCGCTGCCGCGACTCACTCGGGCGCACCCGCAACTTCCGCAAGCGCAGGCCGCGCCCCAAGGTGGACCGTGCTGCGCGCGTCGGCACGGCGGAGGAGCGTCTCGCGGCAAAGCTGCGGCACGACCGGGAGCTATCGGCTGCGGCGGCCGTGTCGCGCCGGAGCAAGAGGGTGGATACCGCTGCGACGGCGATTCGGCGGTACTTCTGCGACCCCACGTACCGGCTCCTGCACGACCGCACGGCCGATCTGTTTGCCAGCCTCCTCGTGGAGGACATGCGCAAGCTCGCCAACGGCGACGTCCGGGAGCTCTCGCTCGCGGCGAAGTGGTGCCCGTCGCTAGGCTCGTCGTACGACCGCTCCACTCTCCTCTGCGAGGCCGTCGCGCGACGCCTCTTCCCCAGAGGCTCGTCGCTGGAGCTGACCGATGATCTCCTGGACGGGCATTATGCTTATCGCGCGCGCGAGCGCCTCCGTAGGACGGTGCTCGTGCCGCTCCGCCGCACGCTACAGCTCCCCGAGGTTTTCATGTCGGCGCGCGCGTGGGAATCGGTCGTGTACACGCGCGTTGCCTCCGTGGCCATGAAGAACTACCAGGCCGTCTTCCTCAAGCACGACGCCGAGCGCTTCAACGCTTACCTCGCCGATGTCAAGTCGGGCAAGAAGCGGATCGCTGCGGGCGCGCTGCTCCCTCACCAGATCATCGAGTCCCTCGGCGAGGACGGCGACGGTGCTGGCACCGGCGTGGCCGACATGCAGTGGCGGCGCATGGTCGACGACATGCGCGCCCTCGGCAAGCTCGCCAACTGCGTGGCCGTGTGCGACGTGTCGGGCAGCATGTCCGGCTTGCCCATGGACGTCTGCGTGGCGCTCGGCCTCCTCGTGTCCGAACTCACGGACGACCCGTGGCGCGGCCGCGTGATCACCTTCAGCGAGCGCCCGGAGATCCACTTGATCACCGGCGACACCCTCTCCGAGAAGGTGAGCTTCGTGCGCGCCATGGAGTGGGGCATGAACACGAACTTCCAGGCAGTGTTTGACAAGATCCTGGACGTGGCCGTGGCCGCCGGTCTGCCGCCGGAGAGGATGGTGCGGCGGGTGTTGGTGTTCAGCGACATGGAGTTCGACCAGGCGTCGGCTCATCCGTGGGAGACAGACTACGAGGCGATCGTGAGGAAGTTCTCGGAAGCCGGCTACGGCTCGGCCGTGCCAGAGATAGTGTTCTGGAACCTGGCGTACTCCAAGGCCGTGCCGGTGATGTCCGGCCAGCAAGGGGTGGCGCTGGTCAGCGGCTTCTCCAAGAACTTGCTCAAGCTGTTCCTCGACGGCGGCGGCATCGTCACCCCGAGGACCATCATGGAGAAGGCCATCGTCGGCCCGGAGTACGACAAGCTCACCGTTTTCGACTGAAGAAGACAGCGGCAAAACAAAAACTTCCATATGTATGAAGCTGTATGCACTAAAAAGCGGCGCAATCTCATCAACTGTATTGCATTTGCATATGTCAAATCACAAGTTCACACGCTGCCACTAAATTAAGCACATTGCTACTACTAGCTCACTACTAATACATTCGAATCGTCCAATGATTCTCGAATGACACCGGTCACAATTTCTTGTTCCAAGTTCCAACAAGCCGCCTACGACGCCGTGCCGCCGCACGAGACGGCCGCCTTCTCCCGCCAGTCGAGCAGCACGGCGACGGCGACGTAGTGCGTGATGGCACCGACGAGCACGAAGACGTGGAAGATCTGGTGGCTGTGGCCGACGACGTCGAAGACGCCGGGGCGCCACTTCTCCGGCACGCGGCTGACGTAGAACCAGGCGCCGACGGCGTAGGCGAGCCCCATGGCCACCTCCAGCCCGAGGGCCAGGTAGCACGCGGTGTGGCCCCAGTTGATCCAGAGCGCGTGCACCGCCGGGATGACGCCGGACATCCCCATGGCGAGGAACAGCGTGGCGCGGAGGCGGCGATACCGCGGCGAGGAGCACGACGGCGAGAGCAGCACGGCCACGACGAGCGCGCCGAGGACGGTGATGGCGGAGAGGTAGGCGACGCGCGCGGGCGGGTGGCAGAGGAACGCGTAGTACACGGGCGGGACGAAGGAGGCGACGATCATGATGGAGATGCCGGCGTAGTCCAGCTGCCAGAAGACGACGGTGGCGCGGCGCGAGTGGCACGCGAGGAGGTGCGCCGTCGCGCTGATGGCCAGGCACGCCATGGCGCCCACGAGGAACACCATCCGCGGCCACCGCGGCACCCCGTGCCCGCCCAGGGCCGCCGCCGCTGCGTCATGGCCCGGCAGGCCCTGCACCAACGCCACTGTTAGCGCGCGCTAATCATTTGAACAGAAAAATCTCAGTCTAGCATCTAAAATTACACTACTACTATCACATTTTGGCGAGAGAATATTTCGAGTAGTGCTTTGCGGGTAGTGTAAATGGCCCGGACAGATTCGTCGCCGGACGCAGAAATCAACGATAAGATGACCAGAAAGATTTTGCCACTTGGTCTTGTCTGCTCAACAGAACCAATTTGAGTTCAGACCGAAGAAGTAGCTGAAAGCGACGCTGCTTCTTGCAGGTGAGCAAACGTGAAAATGTTGCAACCAAAGAACCGTCTTTTTTTTCGAAAAGGGTGACCAAAGAACCGACTACTTCTTCTCTTGCATGCAGAGTGAATGTGATTGAGGAAGCGAGATTTGGTGCAAACACACAGAGGCAGCGTGTCTGTTCTGAACAAGACGACTACACGTGATGTTACGTTGCAGCAGAAGGTGAACTAGATTCGAAGTGCACAACTACACATGGCTCCTTGGCTCTGGTCGGTTGGTCAGGTTGCCGTCGACCAGGACAGGGATCAGGAAAGGACTCACCACTCACGAGTTGTCCTTAGCACAGAAGAACCTATCGGAAGATGGAGCCGATCTTATCATTAATCTAGTAGTACCTCTACCTCCTACATTCATACTTATTTTTCTAATGTCATTGTACATATTCTCACCTTATTTGTATCATCCACACGAATTATTCGTCAGTGCTATTTCAGAACACTTAAATGGAAGGGCAATTTAGTGAATTTCCTCTGGTAAATCCCTCAACCTTTGAGTTTTCTTAAACTCTCTATACTATGGTTGGTCAAGATAAATGGAGTCACACACTTCTTTGGTTTTGATTAATTCCACATTTCATGATTCCGGGTTGGTTAGAGATAAGTGGAAGGATATGTAGGACACGATCTTTTGCCCGTTTTCAAAATAAAATGAATAAGTAAAATAAATTAAAATATGTAGGACATGATCTTGCGGGCTCATCACTAACCACCACCCACACATGGGGTAGAGGTCCATGCAACAGTGATCATAACAGCATTGTTGTTACAGCAGAGGATCCCAACCCCATCGGATGGAAGGACATTACGACCATTCTACCTAATGAATTTTTAGTGTGTGAGGTCATTTTACTTCAAAGTAATTTCTAGGATTCTATTCTTATTTTTTCACCTCTACAACTTGTTTATTTTCTATTAATGAAAAACCGTATGCAATTCCAAGAGGAGACTTCCATTGGGTCCCTTCTTATGGGATTTATTTTGTTTTTGTGTAAGTGACAACTATGAAATTCATCTAATATCCTTTAGCAATGTTGCAGGCTTAGCGCATTTTTCGTGTGCTGCAACCGGATAACTTTTACGACATATTCCTATATTTCAGACAACTTCAAAGACATGCTTTTGTTTTTCTATCTTTTATCCATTTTGATGACAAGAATTTTCGGATGGAGGGAGTAGTTCTGTAAGATTTACTATGGCATCTCAAGTCTACTTTTTTTTTCTAATTACCACGCTTTTATAATCTTGTAAAACAAAGAGACTCGCCCGGTGAAAATACGTCTCGCGGTATTACGGGAGCAAGTACAATTCTCTGAGCAAATTAAATTCCATGGTTGATGATTACAGAGCTATCTACAGGGAGCTGATTTGACCTGTTGTTCGCATCTGTGCATAGTTGCTTGACCAATTGTAGTGCATCCTCTACACTATAGTGTGAGGACATGGATCAAACGATGATCATGTGGGCAGCTCATATACACAGCTGTCCATGCATGTCTCTTTCTGCGTGGTGGGGATCTACATGATGACATTATTACATAGTACTCACTCGGTGCAGTTGTATTTAAATCATTGGTGGCACTACACTAGTGCTAACTGAATAATTAGGCTAGTCATAGTCACCTTGATAGAACTCGTATGAATTAACTAATCATGCTATCTAGCACCATCTGTCCCAGAATCTTGGGGACTACAGTTGTGAGAGAAAAATATGCAATGCTGGAAAAATTATCCGGAGACAAGATAAGGTACTAGTATCTCTTAGATGTCTGTACTGGTGCTAAAAAAAAGATGCGTTTCTTACCGATTGATCGCTCTTCCACGACGAATTAGCTGATCCCACCACGAACCTGCGAGAAAAATGAACGGCACGTAACTAGAGGGCCTTTTCATGAACAAAGTAGTAGCAGTAGTGCAGTACTAGGTTGCCATGGCACCTTGGTGGGAAAGGAACATCAATCAATCAAATTATCAAAGACTAAGAGGAAGGACCGTCTCAGACTTGGAACACCCCAACAAATCTGTGATTTGCGCCAACCGACCAATGCCAGCACTGCATTTGCAAAGTGCTCCGGCATGACGATAAGACGTGTGAGGCGGATAATGCACGGGCCATGTCCTCGTTCGTTTGGTGTGGCTCTCACGCATGCGATTGCTGCTTAGGACGGTGCGCTCTTGCCACATCTCACACGGGCAGCATCTAGCATAATCTTGCATTGGAATTAAAGTGTACTCGCGGCCAGTTGGAGACTTGGAGCTTAGCATCAGCAATGCAGAAAGAGTCGGTAGTGAACGAACGTGTGATTGCGCGCGCGCGTGCGTTCGGTTGATGGAACGAGCGCGCACACGTCCGGCGTGAGCGGGGGTTGTGTGTGACGTGCGCGCTCTCCGAACACACCACCAACTGCCCGCGAAACAAATTCGAGGTTTTTTCCCGTGTGACGTGTGAGCTGCGGTGGTGAGTTGATTCGCGTTTGCTTGGAAGACCGTTTCAAGTTTCAAAGTCGGGAGCGCCCGCTAATCACGTGCAAGGGAGTGGGAGTCAGAGGCGATCGAACCATTATTAAAGTTTGATGAACGAACGGAAACAATCATTTTCTTATTCCGGTGGACAGAGAGAAAAGGAAAGTCAAGTCGTGTGTTCTGCAGTGTAGGTGGTGCGTACCTCATGATCCCCGGCGCGGCGTCGTGGGCGGCCTCCGGGCCGCCGCCGGCGACGGCGAGCGCCAGGAACAGCAGGAACCCGCCCAAATGCCTGCGGAAATCACACGGCGCCATGTCAGATCAACGGATTGGCCGATCGATTGGTCATGTGCGGAACATGTCGATGGATCGGAGGGGGGGCGCGGACGCACGTCCAGACGTTGAGCGTCTCGTTGTGCCAGGAGAAGGCGCTGAGGAGGGCGTCGCGGATGGGCCACTCGACGCGGTAGTGGCCGCGGATGTACTCGTTGTCCTTAAGGTACTCGGGGAGCTCCTCGTAGCCCACCAGCCGCGGCGGGGCCCTGCTGCGCCGGCCGCCCGCCATCGCCGCCGCCGCGGACGCCGCCTCCACGCCGCCCACCGACGGCGCCATGGCTCCCTTCTTCCGGCCGCCCCGCCTCGCCACCGCCTCCCCCGCGGTCGCCGTCGACCGCGCTCCCATGCGATGGGGCCGGTGCCTCTCCCTCTCCCTCTCTCTACGGCTGCGTGCGCGCGCGCGGCTGCGTCGGGGTTGTCTGTGTCTGGTCCGCGGTTCGTGCGGGGGAGCCCGGGAGGTGGTGGTGGTGGTGTTATAGGCGGACTGACTATAGGGAGGCTATAGGGGGATGGGATGGGATGGGATGGGAGGAGACGAGGCCGCCTGGCGAATCTTGGCGGGGAGCGCGCGGCGCGGGGGTGGTGTGGTGCGGTCATGTTGCTGGTGGGTGTAGGCACGGGCGAGCCACCCACATGGATTTCTTCCTCCCTCGCACACGCTTGTCAAGCTACAGAGGTTACCGGGGGCTTTTGGCGCAGCTACTCGCCTAATGACCGTCAGATTTAATAAAGGGGAAAAGAAACGGATATGGATATAGGGTCTGTCTAAAACTCATCTAGATGTGACATAACGATGTCACATATAAGTTGAAATCATCACCTGTTTATAGCCTTTTGTTTGTTTGTTGTTTTTCTTTTTTGGTATTGTATCGTCTAGGCCTTGTCTTTTCTTTTTTGTGTGACCGGCGTGCCCATAGAAACGCTCGCATGGGCAAGGCCCAGCTTGCCTCACACCATCACACGCATGCTTACTCTACGGCCTGTAGCTGATCGTACGTAGTAACGATTTGTGTTTTTTATTCCTTTTGTTTCTTTTATTTCCTATTTTTTCTTTTTTCTTTCAGGTGTATTTTTTCAGTTCTAATATATGCTAAAAAAATTAAAAAACACACTGATTGTTTTTGGATATACGGTGAACATTGTTTTTAATACACACTGAACAAATTATAAAAGTACGGTGAACATAATTGTAATACACATTGAACAAATATTTAGTATATGATGACCTTCTTCTAATATAGAGTGAACTTATTTTCTATGTATTGTGTATGTTTTTTAACGTATATACACGGTGAAACTTTTACAAAATACTCACTGGAGAATTTTAAAATGTACACTGACGTCTAACAATAAATAAAACAATAGAAGAGGAAAAATAAAAAACTGGTCAAAAGAACTAGAAAAATGTTCACGTATTAAAAAAATATGTGGATTAAAACAATCATGGTTTGAACATTGTTTGCAAATTCGAAACATGTTATTTTAAAATGGACCCTAGTTGCGCATCATGGGTGAAGTTGCAACTAAGAAGAATATTAGTCGGGCCCCCAATCGCATATCGAGGGTGGAGTTGAATAATAATAGGTACTTTAGAACATTGTTACAAGAGTAAATCACCTCTACAACTACAAACATTTTTGCAACCGGGGACCCTCGACAAACACACCCCCTAGTTGCGAGTCGATGCTCGGCATGCAACTGGGGACCCTCGACAAACACACGCACCCCTAATTGTGAGTCAATGCTCGACATGCAACGGGGGACTCTCGACAAACACGCACGCACGCACGCACACACGC